CTTCTAGTACCATTAAGAGAAATTATTTCACTTTCTCCGACCGGTGTCTTTATCGGCCTTTGTTGAATATGACCAAATTATCTTAATATATTCTTTCTTAATTTATCCTTAATTAGAGTTACTCGTATTATTTCTCTAATACGGTCATTTCATATTCTATCTTTTTTAATTTTTCCACACATCTACCTTAACATTCTCATTTCCGTTACACTTATTTTGTCACTGTGTTGTTTCCTAGTTGCTCAACATTCTGTCTCGTATAATATTGTTGTCCTTATAACTGCTCAGTAAAACTTACCTTTCAATTTTATTAGTATTTTTCTATCACATAATATGTCAGAGACTTTCCTCCACTTAAGTCAACCGACATTGATTCTATGAGTTACATCATCTCTAATATCTCCATCATTTTTAATAATCGATCCTAGATATCTAAATTGTTCACTCGTTGGTATTTTTTGATTTTCAATCTTAACTTTTTCACTATATTTACTTACTCTATTACTAAAATTGTATTGAATATATTCAGTCTTACTCCTACTTATTTTAAAACTATCGACTCGAGTGTATCTCTCCAAAATTTTAATTTATTGTTAATCTCCTTCAAATTTTATCTACTAATACAATATCATCTACAAATAAAATATACCAAAAGCCATTATCTTGAATGTGTCCAAATCCCCAAGAACATGGGAGAAAAGGTCAATGCTCCAGTCCAAATAAGGATTACTGGATCGAAATGGATACAAATAGAAAAAGTAACCTCTACTTTAGCCAAAAATAAAAAGTACAAATTATCTTTGTATAGTGACAGTTACTCCCGGCATTACTTCTGGGCGTTTGATTGCATTATTAATGGTATATTATAGTAAAATTTTATTATTCAATCTTATATTGTATTTAATTGTAAAAAATATTCAGTATTATACATAACTTTATTTTAAATATTTATCCAAATAATATACTTTTTCTGTATAATTGAGCGGTGATATTATAATTCAATTCAAACGTATTAATTTATAAATTTACTATTTTATACACCAAATAATCAAAAATATTAATAATTATACAAGAATGATGTTTTTTGGTCAATTTGTAATTAATATTATATTATCCCACTTTTAATCCAATGTCTTACCAAACACTGGATTACAATGCGTAGTATTTTTATCTCATATTTAAGTCTGTATTACCTGATATAATTAATTCTTTTACTATACAATAATCGAACGAGCCCCTATAATTTATATTAACATTAATGAAAAGGCACATTGCAAAACATGAAAATTTTAACTTTTGAGCATGCAAAATAAAATTTGCCCTTTCTTAAATCTTGAAAAAATATTCAATACAACGGTGATACCATGTCAACATTGTTACGTGATATCACAAACCAATAATATGCGCACAAATAAAAAAGTGGACCCCACAAAAGCACAAAACTAGTCATCCATTCATGTAAGCATATAACTACACACTTTTATTTTACGTAAGTCAATAACTACCCAATATGAGTCAATTTGCCCATTTAAAATTTTATTATTTGTTATTGTAATGACATGATATTACCGTTATATTGAATATTATCTAATAAATCCCAAAGAAAATGGGAGAAAAAGTCATACCCCAGTCCAAATAAAGATTAATGAGGAAATTGGAAGGGGTACACCAAATTAAAATTAATTGTAAAAAAGCAAACAAAAAAAAAGTGTGGAGTAAATAAGTCCTTAATTTTGATACTTATTTGTGTCCAAGTGCATTATTTGAAATTTTCAGATTTTCTTGTGACATTTTTGTCCTTCCTTGATCTATGCGTATTTTTTTGGAAAGTGATTTTTCTTGTCAAATTATATTTATGCATTAAACATTTCCTAATTTTCTAGGAGAACTGTAATATTTTGTACATTTATATCATCCCTTGATTCATGCGTTTTTTTTTTGAGAAAGTGGTTTTGTTTTCAAATTATATTTTTGTATTAAATATCTCATAGTTTTATGAAAGAGCTTTAATATTCCGTTTATTTTAAAATATATCATTTTATTTGAATTACAAATTTTGTTAATATGCGAACACCATAACAGTGTAACAATAATAATGTAATAAGACATCTACACAAAATATTGTACTATTACATTTTGTCAAACATATATTTTCATATAATTTCATTCAAACAATCCATCTCTATTTTAAATTTGTTACCACATGCACAAAATCCCTAAACACTATCTTTGTTACAGTGTATTGTTACACTATGAGGAAAACACAGTTAACAGTTAAGAGATACACACAGTTTATTTACACACAATGAATTAATATAGCAGAAACACATAACAAAAACATTATATTTCACATAGGCCAACGATCAACTTTCAACAACCGGTTTTGATTTATAAATGTCGAAGTTCATGCGTATCTTCAAATGGCAAACAAATCTTCAAAAAATATGATGTTGATGATCTTTACATCAAATGGGCCGAACAATAGGATTTTTTCTTCAAAGACGAAACTCTATTGATGTTCAGGGAATAATTTTAGGGCTTATCGTTGAGAAAGATGAAGTGATTTTTGGAGAAGAAGAAGAAGTCCAAACGTTTTCTGAAGATGAAGAGCTTCGCATATAAATTTCAGCGTATCTAATTAATTAATTAAGATATATTCATAAAACTGTTTTAGGAAAGTAAAGTTTAGGAAGAAGAGATGAAGAGATTTCGAATTAAATGACCTTAAATTTTAGCGTCTAAGATAAATGTCTTGTTACCAAAGGATTAATGGATCGAATTGGGAGCTTTTGACCTATCCCATGCACTTTTAAAAAAAAGGTCTCAAATAATGATAGTTTTGAAAGTAATTCTCAAATGCAGACAATTTTTAAAAACGTCAAACGAATTGACATTTTTAGGATAAAGACGTCAAATGGACTGACTTCTTTATCCTAAAAACGTCAATCCATTTGACGTTTTTTAGCATCATTTAATCATGGCTACAGTTTGTATAAAGTTCTGAGGTATCATTTCATAGCATTCAATCATTCTAAAAAGTATGATAAATCAAATACATGCTTTAGAAACAATAACCCAAGCTAAATTGGTATTCATCAAGAAGCGAGAGGAACCATTCAAGTCAATCACTAAAGCTCATGGAAAAAAGTAAAACAAAAGCTATCATTTTATTAATGAATATTTATCAAACGAACGTGAATAATATAGCTTGCCCAAAACAATTGTTAGAATCAAAATGTGGTACCTGCCCAAAACAATTGTTGGGATGCACACCCATGCAACCTCAAAAATTGCAAGTTAAAAATAGCCCAGAAAATGTAAAAGCTGAAAAGTAGGGAACAAAAAGACTTGGATCATTTTATTTTCTAAAGAAGAATTGAGATTAAGAAAAAAATTAAAACAATAGATATAATCGATCATTGTCATTGTCATGTTTAATGGATGTATTTGATGGATTAGGATAAACCTGAATGTATTTGATGGAATGTAGCACATAAATCGATTCAATCCTTTGTTTATAAGCAATTAAAATGTCAACTTTAGCTTATTGACTACTCATGCATAAATCGGTTCAATCCATTGCTTTTAGCTTATTGACTATTAAAATGAAATCATTTTAATGACAATTTTTATGATCCCTGAATTTGTTCCTGTAGATGAATTATTTGATCAGCATTCTACTAGTCAATAGAGTTTTTTTAAACTTGACAGTTGCTTCTATTTATATTGAAATAACAATGAACATATATTATTTGGCTAAGTTGAATGAAAGTTTGCAGTTCACTAAGACTCGAAACTTCCATGACTGTGAAACCCCCAATGCGTATTACACTGAGAAACATTAGCTGCAGAACCATTAAATTGATGTTGGGCTCAATTTTATTAATGTAGTTTGGTTTTTTTCCGCTTTTATGACAGATTTGTGCGTTTTGTAAGCACCTCCAAAATTCTCGATAGGTTTCTAAAAATTGAAAGAGAGATTTTGCGTCCATTTCAACAATTAACATCCATTTTCATACAATAATAAACCCTAACATCCAATTTAAAAACTATAAATCATCCATAAGAAGCTTTGAACCCAAACAACAAATAAACTAAATCAATAAATGATTTGGTAAACAAATAAACAAACCAAAAAGCTTTGAACCCAAACAACATACCCTTTAGCCTACGATGCTGGTGGTAGGCTTCGATGCTGGGTGGTGTAGTGTGGTGCTGTTTCGGTGGTGGGTGGTGCTACGATGGTGGGGGTGCAGCAATGGTGTAGGGTGGGTGGTGGTCTTTCGGTGGTGGGTGGTGCTGCGATGGTGGGGGTGCAACGATAGCGTAGGGTGGGTGGTGCTACGAAGGTGGAGGTGCAGCGATGATGGGTGGTGGTCTTTCGGTGGTGGGTGGTGCTGCGATGGTGGGGGTGCAGCGATGGTGTAGGATGGTGGGTGGTGGTTTTTCGGTGGTGGGTGGTGCTGCAATAGTGGGTGCTGGTCGTCGGAGGTGCGCCTGAAAGAGGTCAGGGGTGGTGCTGCTAGGTCGCCTAATTGAAGGTAGGGCAAATAATTTGGGGAAAGAAAGTGTGATGGAGAAAAAAAGAAGAGGGAATCGGGTTCAAGCTAAAGACGTCAAAACGAATGACGTCTTTATAAAAGACGTCAAGCCGAATAATGGTGGGCTGACCAGGTGGGCTAAACTACAGTATTGAGCTAAAAAATGTTAAATGGACTGACATTTTTAGGATAAAAATATCAATCCATTTGACGTCTTTATCCTAAAAGCGTCAATTAATTTAACGTTTTTAAAAACTACATGTATTTTAAAATTATTTTCAAAATTACTCTTATTTGGAACATTAAAAAAAGTACATGGGGCAAGTCAAAAGCCCATCGAATTAGATACAAATAGAAAAAGCTTGGCTAAAAACAAAAAAAAAAGTAGAAATTAGATCTTTATATAGTGACAAATTACTCCCTCCATTACTTTGGATTTCATTACTTTTACAGTTTTTGACAGTTGAATTAAGAACGGAGTAGACGAAGAGCGGCAAAGCCGGCCTGTGATTTCGAAACGCCATCAAAATAGAAATATACCCACGAACATGTTCCTTCGATTTCTCATATACTCGTGTTTTGTCTTCTCTTAAGTCCACGCTCCACAGACGACCCTTTGTTTCTCTCTCTTCAGAACCTTTGATCGCGATGAAGAACAGAGGGAGGAACAAGTTGTTCATGTGTTTCAGACCGGTCGCCCTCGAAGAAGATGATTTGGTGAATCCAAACCGTAAAGGCGGCTCAGAGGGTCCGGTTCTGACGTATATAGCGGTCGGAGGAGGGAACAGAGAGGGGGTTGTGATTCCGAAGATTTTGACTTCTATGTCTGAAGAGAAGTTGGAGGAATCGGCGGACGGATATGTCGGCGGTGACGGACATCGTCGTACGAAGAAAAGGTTTCACCGGAGTCTTTCTCGCGTGCTTAAAGCCGTACTGTTCGACACATCGTTGGTTAGTTTTTCTCATATCTCAAATCTTATTGTCTGCGTTCCATTCTTATTTATGGGAAACCTCATTGATTGATGCATTCCATCTTTGACGATCTCAGTATTTAGAAACCGATTATTGAATGTTATGTGGGCTGTTTTGATCAAATTGATTGATGGGTACTTTGTTAAATTACTTTGATTTTGAATTTGTGGTACTTTTGTTTTGTATTGTTTGATTTGATGATCGGTTTGTTGTCCTTTTTTGCCCGGTTTTGACAGAACAAATAAATATCTAATTTTCTGACCTAATCGATAAAGTTCTGCTCTTTGTTGTTCTGATTCTCAATTTACTTATTGTAATTGGCTTGATTGTTACTCTGTTTCCTTTGGTCTTTCAACATAGCTGGCCTTTCTGTTCTTGAATGAATTGTATTATTTTTTGAGAAATTCGTTTGGCTTTCTGTTCTTCTAACGAGTTATGTATACTCTGTTTTTGATCAACAGGCTACGGAGGTTCGCAACAAAAAGTTGAGGAAAAACTCATTTCGATCCAACAGCAACCTATCTTCAAAGATGGAGAAGGTTTCAAACTCAATAAACAAAAACCCATCGTCTAAAGAATCGTCACGGTCCGACGAATTGCTTGGAGTGGATTCAATCCTTTCTTCTTCTCTGTATTCATCATCTACAATACCTTCATCTTCATTGTCATCTTGGTGTTCTTCTTCCATAACTTCGAATTCAAGGCCCTTCTCAGAAATCAAAGGATCGTCCCGAGCAAATTCAGTTGATTTGAAACAAGGGTATAAACAATCTTCAACTACCAAAAACGCCAGAGGTGGCTATTACAGTTCAAGTATTGGACTGTGTTGGCTTCTTGTATGCTTGTTGGTTTTGATTTTCTGGGGAAAGATTTGTGCTATAATTTGTACATCAATATCGCTTTTCTTGGCTCCCCAGCGGAGCGGTGGCGTTCACTTGCCGGCAAATGAAATTGACTTGCCGGACATCGACTCAGAGGAGCACAAGAAGAAGGTCATCATGGAAGGACTTTTGAAGAGAAACCGTAACCGGGTTCGATAGCAATAACTCTGCTGTTTTTGTTTCCTTCTCCACATTGTTTAAAGGGAGCAAATCAAATTTTCCCCTTGTTGTTTACTGTAGTTTTTCCTCTTGCAACTATAAGTTGTACAAACGTGTTTCTCAGTTGCACCACATTTGAGTTGGATTTGTTATTGTTACTATTTACTTTTAATACATTTAATGTGTATTCCATTACATGGAAAGGCTTTTAATATCAATAATACATGTGATTGAATACTTGTGCTTCTTGTCTGTCTGCATGCCTGCGTGATAATGAACAATTGAGGTTCTTTTGCGGAGCCTGGTTTATACATGATGTATGTAAACCGTGAACCATCATAATGTTTCGCCGATGATATAAGTGGTTTCAATGCATTGGGTGGAAAAGCTGCAAGTTGAGGCTGCGTCCCTAAATTCTAAGGAATGACGGTGTCGGGACTTAATTGGGGGACTTGGGTCATAAGAATGAATGGAGTCCATTATTAATATAATGGTAATAATACCTTATATTCTTAAATTAGTTACAAATAATTTTATTGAATTTCGAGTAGTTAAATGCTTTTTCATTATTATATTATATACATATAGGGATTTTTTATTTTTTGGCGGGCAGGGTATTTAGTTTAGAGAGTGGGTGCGCGTTTGGTAGCACATAATATTATTTTTTATCAACTATAAAGAGTTAATTGGATCGTGTCATCACATTTAATGTATTGGTTTTTTATTTTTTTTGCTAAGTGAAATAGGGGTGTGAGCAAGAAAAGTGTTTAAAAANATGCGCATTTGGTAGCACATAATATTATTTTTTATCAACTATAAAGAGTTAATTGGATCGTGTCATCACATTTAATGTATTGGTTTTTTATTTTTTTTGCTAAGTGAAATAGGGGTGTGAGCAAGAAAAGTGTTTAAAAAAAACTATCTTGATAGGCTTTCACTAGTGGAATCATAAGACTCCTGACTGCGTCCATTATTTTTCTCGGGAATGAACTTAGCTAAGCTAACATAACAGTCAACTATCAAATCTCAATGTAGACTCTAANTAGTGGAATCATAGAAATAGGGGTGTGAGCAAGAAAAGTGTTTAAAAACTATCTTGATAGGCTTTCATTAGTGGAATCATAAGACTCTTGACTGCGTCCATTATTTTTCTCGGGAATGAACTTAGCTAAGCTAACATAACAGTCAATTATCAAATCTCAATGTAGACTCTATGATTCGAATATTCAAATTCAAGATGAGAAGTTTGGCCGGTACTCCATTAGACCACCCAACTCGATGGTAAATGTCTTAAATTTGAATATGTGATTTCAGAGTAAATATTGGAAATAATTAGAGGTGACAATCTTAATTCATTACCCATTAATCCGTCCATAAATAAATGAGTTAGGTATCTATATTAATTAATATGAGTTCTAAATAAATTGTATAATATGATTCATTTTAATTAAGCGGATTAATATAGATTACAAATTGGTACCCATTGAATTAAATATTTATTTTTGTATTAAATAACACAAGNACAATCTTAATTCATTACCCATTAATCCGTCCATAAATAAATGAGTTAGGTATCTATATTAATTAATATGAGTTCTAAATAAATTGTATAATATGATTCATTTTAATTAAACGGATTAATATAGATTACAAATTGGTACCCATTGAATTAAATATTTATTTTTGTATTAAATAACACAAGTAATAAAATTAAATAAATATACTAAAAAATACACACACTATTACACAGAAAAATACACACATATACACTAATACACCCAAAATATACATACACTAGTACACAAAAAATATACACTAATACACCGCACATGACCCATAAACTACGATATAATGATGACACTACGCTATCATTATCACACGGTGTCATCGACTAATTATAAAATAACAAATAAGATTAGTAAACCTCATTTTTCTTACACGACAGATATAGTTACTTATAGTTAAAAAAAATAAAATAAAATAAAATGACATTATACATCCTAAACAGTCTGCGGTAATGCATGGGTTTGATCAAGTCAACGCTTTCTTTTCATTTTTCGGCTTTTGAATAGTCAAGCCTGGCCTGGTGAAACGACCTTGAATTGCAAAATTTATGACGTGAAGAAATGGGTATCCACTGGAATCCAATTTAATTTATGTCGTGCATTTCAAGTTAAGTGGGGAGTAGCTATCAACTTTGTATCCATCGCTTTTATCCGGGGTAAATCTCATAAGCACCTTTTGAGTTATGATTTTTTTGTGTTAATTATAAAATACCCCCTTCAACTTTCACTAATTCGTTATTCACCCCTTTCAAGTTTTAATTTCAACAAATAATCACTTTTAAAGTTGAATATTTTTCAATTATTTCCAATAGTTAACTTTTGACGTTAAAAAATGACATAAGTTACTTTGTTAAAATAACATAATTACCCCTAAAAAAAGTGTGGGTATTTTTGTGTGTGTGGGTGTTTGTGTGAGTGAGTATTTTAGTGTTGGGTAGAGGTGGTGGTGAAGGCAAACATGGAATCTCAAGAACAAAATATGAAAAATAATGTATAAATTGGAGGGCGTAATATTACCAACCACTATTTTTAGCCGATTTAGTTTGCTTGAATTTGGATGGGGTAAATTACAGTATATGAAACCATAGGGAGCTAATTGAATCTAGNGATTTAGTTTGCTTGAATTTGGATGGGGTAAATTACAGTATATGAAACCATAGGGAGTTAATTGAAACTACNTATTTTTAGCCGATTTAGTTTGCTTGAATTTGGATGGGGTAAATTACAGTATATGAAACCATAGGGAGCTAATTGAATCTAGAAGTATAGTTGAAAGGGACAAATTATGATTAACCCTTTAAATTGTTCTAATTTATTTCTTGAACTATGCAATTTATTCCTGTTCAAAAAAAAATAACTATGCAATTTATTTTAATCGATCCCTTACATTAAGATTAGATGTTAAATGAGATAAGTTGATGATTAATTTTAATGAAATTTCGTTTAGTTATGCGTTAAGGATCTATTAACAAAATTCATGGGTTTGGTATGAAGGAGGAAGAAAGTAAACGTCGTAGAAAAACGGATGGGTGATATACCCTAGTTGTTGGTGTAATGATTTATTTTACGGGCAAGATCTCTTTCGTCCGATGTCTCATTGAACAGTTAATTTTAATGGAATCTATCTCAATTATTGATTAATCTTAACCAAAAAAATAGATTAAAATAAATTACATAATTCAAAAAAAATATTAGAACAACTGAAAATTTAGGAGACAATTTAAAATAAATATGTCACTAAGTTAGGTCAATTTAGGGAATATTTATGAGATTTATCCTTTTGATTTTTTTTTNCAACTGAAAATTTAGGAGACAATTTAAAATAAATATGTCACTAAGTTAGGTCAATTTAGGGAATATTTATGAGATTTATCCTTTTGATTTTTTTTTTCCATTAATTTTTTTTTTGTTTCCAACAAGCACAAGGCAATTACTATGTAGAGTAATAGGTCTGTCAATGGATCATATTTTAGTTCGAATCTGATCCAAATATAAATTCGTTTAACTGGATATGGATTAATATTTTCATCCGTTTATTCGAATCCAATTAGATATCTTAAATTGGATATGAATACAAATATATACAATAAATCCGATCCGATAATGAGAAATTAAATCAGATTTTATGCATTGTTGGTGTGAACTTTTAGTATAATATATGTAGTTGATCCATGAAATAATTCATATAATTAGCAGTCGTGGGCGTGCATTTATACCATGTTTTAGTGCTATGACAATGTATGAAAAAGAATTAAAGTTGATGTTTGATTCAGTAAAAAGAAAATNTCGTGGGCGTGCATTTATACCATGTTTTAGTGCTATGACAATGTATGAAAAAGAATTAAAGTTGATGTTTGATTCAGTAAAAAGAAAATTTTATCGACTAATTTTTTTATATCCGTCAAGTAAATTTTTCAAATTCTATTAAAGATTTTTTAATTGGATTCAAATTTGGATGACCCATATCCGATCCAAATCTGATTCGTTTACAATCCTCATCAACCACTGGCTAGTGGATCATTAGCCTAGCTAGTAGCCCATTGGGCCATGAGACAGTACAACAAAAAATTATGAGGAGGCACATTTAAATTACTTAATTGTGAGAAAATACCTTAACTAAAATATTTCTGTTAATCAATACTCTTAACTTGAAATGTATTATATTTAGAAACACGTTAGCCGATTTTCAAATTTTTCCTCTATTAAATACACTTTTCCATATTTATTGGGCTATTTAGATTGACAGTCCTATTTTTTATAGGAATTTGTTTATTATATTAAGAGTTTCTATTTTAATAGATTGACATATTTGAATTTGAAACTTAAATCATATGGATTATAATTTAATGGTTGGTGTAAATTCTCAACTTTGAATTTTCTACCTTCCTCGTTTAGGCTTGCTGTTCTTCATCAACGAAAATAGTTGAACGCCACGCCTGATTTTATTTTAGCACATCAATGTCTATTATTTTTCGTCTTCTTGAATGTGTAGCGTGTACTTCACTTTAAGTTTAGTTATATATGTTTGATATTAATATAACAATTATCATTTTTATGAATTCAGTAGTGTACAACGTCAAGAGTTCAATTCTCCTGTTTTCAACCAATTGTTTTTCTTTTTTTAAAATCAAAACAAAACAGGATTCTACTTTTTTTTTTTTTTTAGTATTGAGTATTATTGTGATTTTGGTGTAATGTCACCATGACCATCTACATTTTCTCGTGAACATACTTTTCTTATCATGCTTTAGTGTACAATCAACTTGTTTTTTAATGTCACAATGTATTAAGTATAGCATTTAGCCCTAGTATATGAATCAAGAAATGTAATTGCATATTAATCTGTCATAATGTGACAAGTACAATATTGTCCATTGCGTTGTTACATTGCGATGTAACACTGTAATTCCTTAAAAGGACTATGTGTTGTTACATAGGCAAAAAGAATTTTTGCCCTCACTATTTTTAGTTGTTTGTGTTTTTGATTTGGTTGAAATTTCATGATTTTTTTGGCATTTTTTTTTGTGGTAGATTTTGTTTAAATTTCAACACTCATGTTTTTAGTAATATATTGGTTGCTGAATTTTAATGGGGTTGGTGCATGACTTCTGACTGTTTCCAA